CAATGCCGGCTTCCCCAGGTCCGCCGGGAGGACCCTGGGGACCGGGGATACCGGCCGCTCCGGGTGCACCTGGTAAACCTCTCTCCCCTTTCATACCTGGCTGACCCGGAAGACCATTTTCACCAGGCTTCCCTACCCCAGCAGGACCGGGGAGGCCCCGGGGTCCCTGTGGACCTGGAAGACCTCTGCTACCCGGGCGGCCTGGAATGCCAAATCCATTTTCTCCCTTTTGTCCATTTATACCAGGGATACCTGGCTCTCCCTTCTCTCCAGGGAGGCCCCTGGGCCCTTGAGCTCCTGGAGGGCCCTGTGGTCCTGGCTTTCCAGGAACAGACAGTCCTGCGGGGCCGGGAGTGCCGGGGGGTCCTTGTGGCCCTCTTGCTCCTGGGAGCCCAACAGGTCCAGCTTCTCCTTTCTCACCATTTAGTCCCCGCTCTCCTGGCTTTCCTGGTAGACCTGGCATGCCAGGCTTTCCAACCGCAGAGAATCCAGGTGGTCCTGGGGGACCAGGGGGGCCTTGGGGACCAGGACTTCCAAACCCTGGCTTTCCTGCAGGACCTGGTTGTCCTCTTGGGCCGATAGGGCCTGGGGGCCCAGGGGGTCCTTGTTCACCCCTTATCTGCACACCTGTGAGGGAGAGAAAACCAGGTCAACCAGAGCAGCTATAACAGATTTGCAGACTTGTAGCACGGTGGTGAATTGTGTGAATGGTTAACTTGAACCTGGTAGAGTTCAAATTTCTAATACTGTGTTTGCTCTATGAGAACCTGATGTGTAGAGCAAAAGTGTCTCAGAGCTCTTACGGAACAAGTAACAAGTGTAAATGTGCTGGAGTTGTGTTGTGAGCTACAAGGCCTCTAGAAATTTATTCAGCTTCGATACATTTAGGGTCATCAGAGAGTTTAAAAGATGCTGTGCAAGTACATGCAAACTATTAAGGAAGAAAAAAAACAAGTAACTGATTTAGCAAGTCATCAGACTTGCATCTTGATGAACAAAAGCAGAGAAAGCTTTCTGTGCAGGTATAGCTGCTTTTCTGAAACCACTTGGTGCTACATTTAATGAGATTTTGGGCCTTTTCCCTCCCATTTCCAGTGGGCCATGGATCTGTTTGGTTTGTTGTTTTTTTTTTGGTGAAAGTATGAATGTTACATTTTCAAATAGTGTCATAAAAATTTCACACAGTGGCAAGGTCACAAGTTTGCCAGTGACAGCAAGCTGTGTGGTGTGGTGGAC